CTGCATACCCAGCGAGGTAGTTAACATCTTGCCACTCCGGCGCCTAAAATGGTGTGGGCAAGCAGCTGCAGGGCTGCACCTCTCACTTTAACATTACCACCATCACCACCACCATCATCTTCTTCTTTATCGTTGTCCCCGCCCAGGCCGTTGGCAGCAGCGATGGTGTCACTGACAGACTGATGGCGCTTTGATTCCCGAGCCGGCATGGAGCGACGTGAAATGGGATTACCGAGGCGTGACTGGGGTAAGTGCGCAGACGGCAGCTGCATGCGTTTGCGCAAGCGGTGGTGGTGGCAATGGTTGGGGGGCGGAGAGGTGCCGGGGGGGGGGGTGGGGTAGGGAGACACAAAAACGCGCGTGCGATCACGGTCTTCGCTTGACCCTTATTGATCGGCTCGCGTTGGCTAAGGCGCAACGCCCCCACAGGCAGACACACGCTCGATAATAATAACACACGGGTGCACGCCGCTAAATCAAACGTGACGGGGTTTGTTTTTTATTCTTTGTCCCTTTTTTTTTTTTACGCTTTCTAAATAATTGTGGAAAGCGTCAGTGCGTTAGTCCGGTCCCGTACGTCCATAAGTCCCCGCTTTCGTCTGTCTGCCTTGATGAAATTGGGTGCAAACCGTGTGAACTGGGGCACCACGGTGTCGAGATGTTAACCACCTCGTCTGGTATACAGGAGGTTGTGGGTTGGATCCCGACCCTGACGATGCCTGGATATTTGGAGTTTGCGTGTTCTCCCCGTAGTCGCGTGGATTTTTTATCCGGATCCTCCGGTTTTCCCCTCCACATTTAGAATCAACATCATTTGTTTCAGAGTATTCGGCTGCAATAAATTTCCAATAGCTTTCTCTTCATGGGCAGCAGCAGCAGCGGCGGCGATCCATGGCAGCGTTAACTCTCCGAAACTCATCAGCTCGTTGTTATCCAACACTGTTCAATGAATCCTTCAAGCGTTAATGCATTCGCTCTGTCTGTCAATCTGTCTGTCTGCACCACGGCGCGGGGGCCATAATAACTCTCGTAATGATGATGATGATGACCCGATATAAATTGGATTATTATTCCATAGCTGCGTTGCTATTAGGGACTACTTAGCACGTAAAATTCTGGCGCAAATTTGTGAAAGCTTTGTCCAAAATTAATGGTTATATAAAAAAAGAAGCGCTAAATGGATGAGGATATTTTTGAGCAGCGCAATGTCATGGCCCGTCCCCCTTGACGTCGTCCCCCTTGACGTGGTCGTCACGCGTGATCATCACGTGTCATCGTCGTCGTCGTCGTCACGCACATCCACGTGTGCGGCACTAAGTGGATCATTATAGATAGGCAGGTTCCTGAGAGAAGGTGGCAAGGCCTGGGGAGGCCTACCTTCAGCAGTGCAGTGACCATGGCTGCTGCTGTTGCTGCTTATGATGATAAGTACATGCAAATGATATGCTCACGGTAGATTTAGGCCAATTAAATGCACAAACCCTGTATAAAGAGACAAAAAAATCAACAAAAACACAAATCAAGACGGTACAAGTCAGTAAAAAAAATTATGTAATTTTTTTTACGGATGACCGTATTGTCTGGACTAGAAAAAGCTCCAGAAAGTAAAACGCACCCCATAAATGTGCCCGGTGCCAATGCATTTATACAAATGTTGCTCACGGACACCGACACCTACCGGATCATTTTAATCCTTCCCGATTCCTTTCCTTTCCGTTCCGATGATGTAGACGTATGTCATCGGAACGGAACCGAAACAAAAACTAATAGCAAATAACTTTATTGGCACCGAGGCTACCCACAAGGCCATGCGGCAGGGCGTGTGACACAGTTTGGCGTCAGCTGTCGTAGAGTGTGGTCCTGTCGCCACGGTTCTTTGCGGTAAGTGCAATGTCTTTAAAACAACGGCACTACTGTGCCTCTCTAAATAAAATTAATGCCGAGCCGCTCGCGCGTTCCGAGATTCAGCGGTGAATGGGACCCCCCCGCCCCCACCCTGCAACTTGCAGATGTCTCGGAACGGGAAAGGGTTAAGACACATCCACAAGTTTTGATTTAAACTACGGCCACGAGGGAGTGGAGGGCGGTGGGTGGATGGGTGGGGGGGGGAAAGCCCTTCTTATAATCTGGATAATATGATCAATCGATTTGAATCGCGTCCATCGAATCGCACGTTGATGAATCATGCACCGCCAGTCACCCCGGGGGGAGGGGGCGGGGTGGTGCGGAGGGAGTGGGGAGGGGGGCCTTCCCACCTTCTGCCTTGCCAACTGTTTTACGCAAACGCTTACACGACCGCCGACGACAACGACGACGACTACGTACACAACGGGAACCCCGGAAGGCGTAAACAGCAACACAACCCGGCTGAACCGCCGCACCACCCCCCCTCCCCGCCAGCGGCGAATAATTTGCGTCGTCACGGAGAGACAATCGCGGCTAATTTTCTCGCCTCGCGGCGGCGGCACAGGAACCCATCGTCCTTGTTTGTTTACGTGCCTCGTTACGACGCTCGGGAGCGGGGACAAACGAGCGGCGTGGAAGCTGCGGCAGCAGCTGCTGGCCTGCTTGCAACTTCTCTTGTTTGCACACGCGCGAAGAGGTTTTCTCGCTTAACTTTACTCAGTCCGTCGCCGATCGAAACCGTGAGCACCGTCGTTTGGTGTTCAGCATATGCACGTATGTATGTGTATATGCTGAACTTCTTTCACACAGTACGTAGCCAACCGTGCTAATCGGAGGGTGGGTGAGTGTGTGGATGAGTGACTATGTGAGTGGGTGACTGTGTGAGTTTATGTACGTGTACATGCTGAACTTCTTTCGCACAGTACGTAGCCAACCGTGCTAATTGGAGGGTGGGTGAGTGTGTGGATGAATGACAATGTGAGTGGGTGAGTGACTGTGTGAGTCTATGTACGTGTATATGCTGAACTTCTTTCGCACAGTACGTAGCCAACCGTGCGAATTGGAGGGTGGGTGAGTGCGTGGATGAGTGACTATGTGAGTGGGTGAGTGACTGTGTGAGTCTATGTACGTGTATATGCTGAACTTTTTTCGCACAGTACGTAGCCAACCGTGATAATCGGAGGGTGGTTGAGTGTGTGGATGAATGACTATGTGAGTGGGTGAGTGACTGTGTGAGTCTATGTACGTGTATATGCTGAACTTTTTTCGCACAGTACGTAGCCAACCGTGCTAATTGGAGGGTGGGTGAGTGTGTGGATGAATGACTATGTGAGTGGGTGAGTGACTGTGTGAGTCTATGTACGTGTATATGCTGAACTTCTTTCACACAGTACGTAGCCAACCGTGCTAATCGGAGGGTGGGTGAGTGTGTGGATGAGTGACTATGTGAGTGGGTGACTGTGTGAGTTTATGTACGTGTACATGCTGAACTTCTTTCGCACAGTACGTAGCCAACCGTGCTAATTGGAGGGTGGGTGAGTGTGTGGATGAATGACAATGTGAGTGGGTGAGTGACTGTGTGAGTCTATGTACGTGTATATGCTGAACTTCTTTCGCACAGTACGTAGCCAACCGTACGAATTGGAGGGTGGGTGAGTGCGTGGATGAGTGACTATGTGAGTGGGTGAGTGACTGTGTGAGTCTATGTACGTGTATATGCTGAACTTTTTTCGCACAGTACGTAGCCAACCGTGATAATCGGAGGGTGGTTGAGTGTGTGGATGAGTGACTATGTGAGTGGGTGAGTGACTGTGTGAGTCTATGTACGTGTATATGCTGAACTTCTTTCACACAGTACGTAGTCAACCGTGCTAATCGGAGGGTGGTTGAGTGTGTGGATGAGTGACTATGTGAGTGGGTGAGTGACTGTGTGAGTCTATATACGTGTATACGCTGAACTTCTTTCGCACCGTGCATAGCCAACCGTTCTAATCACGTGGGGTGCTCTGCGTTTCGTGCTTGAGTACAGTCTGCAGTAGTCTCGCGGTGGAGGGAGACCATTGCCGTAAAATTAGTAACTGCCGGGAAATATTTCACGTTCGCACGGTGACGCCAGCACACGTGGCCTACTCTTTTTTCAAATCAGAATAAAATATTTACTTACACAGGAGGAATCCGATGAGCTACAAAGTTATTTTTTCGCAGATATCCAGTGCTTTCGCAGATGTCCCGTGGCAAAAATAAGGTCACGCGATGGGCACTGTCCACTGTGACGCAGGCCCACGGTCAATACGCTCGCAGTATTAACCAGGGCGTCCGCGTGGCGCGAACCACGGACCTCCGCAAACGAGCGGCGAACGCGTGCCGCCCTAACTGCCGTCATACGCGCTTCATTAACGGGAAGAAGAGGAAGAAGAAGAAACAGACCCTCACGTTAACGGCCGAGCTCACCGTTCGTTATAAGCACTTGAATTATGCGTCAACTGCGACGACGCTGAAATGTTTCTTAGATGCCAGTGGAGTGCTACATTGGGCCGCAGTCTCGCAGTGATTTTTTTACTCGAATAAATTACAGAACTGCTCCTGGCAAAGGTGCGGGAGGACACATTATATGAGACTGTCCCCCACAGAGATGGAACACTACCAAGCGATTGTTGGGAGGTCCGAGCGTAGTGACTCTCCGAAGATGTTTTTCTGCGTGTCGTTGGCTCTACTATTGGAATGCCCTGGCAACCTGGGGTAGAGAGCAATAGGGTGGATTGTGATAGGGTGGAGTGTGATGGCTGGAATTCTACTAGTGTATCGTTGCATTTTTGGATTGCTACCTGCAAAGAATGAATGTGCTTCATATGTAGTGTTGATGGAGGAGTGTTTCATAGAGTCTTTTCGCGTGTCTGCGCGCGTTGCCGGAACCTACCATGACCTGTAGATGAACAGCGTTAAGTTGTTCATCGACAGGTGTGGCAGCGCGTTACGAGTGTTGAGGAGTGTTTTGCACGTCTCTCCGTGCGTCGCCCGTTGCAGCCGTGGGCTGTCCGTGTGCATTGTTACTACTCGGAGTGGTTAAGTGTTGTGTCGAGTGTCCGCGTATTTACCTGTCCCCGCCGCGGGCTGTCCGCTCCGTCCGTGGCGAGCGAGGGAGAGTCACTCACGGCCTCGGCACAGTCGGACATCCTGCCCTCGCTTGCACCTGCGGAACGTACAACATCATCATCATCATCATCGTCGTCGTCGGCAGCCGTTCTCTCTCCACTGCTGCACTCTCGACAACAACTGCACTCAACGCGTCTTCATCAGAATACCCGTTAGCACCATTTGCATCAACAACACGGCCCTTCACTCTCCACTGCTGGCCTCCTTAATAACTGCACTTCGTACGACATCGTCAGAGAACTCATTATGCATGTATGTCAAACTTGTTTCGCAATGTACGTAGCCGACCGTGCTAATCGGAGGTGCATTAGGGGACCCATTCTCTCTCCCCCGCTGCTTTCCTAGCTACGACACTCCACACAAATTACATCATCATCAGGCACGACCATTTACTCTCCACCGCTACCCTGGGCTGCCACTTTGCCCCGGACGGCACCTACAGTCCCGCACACAACTGTCAGAAGGAGCTCGTTTAGCGAACCCATTCTCTCTGTGTTCGCGGCGCCGAGTACAGTGCCCGGGTGAAATCTCAGCCCCGTGGGGGGGGGGGGGTGAGTAGACGGAGAGAGAGACACACACAGACGTGCGCGCGAAGCAAAGACAATGAAAATGACCTCGCTCCGCTTCCCAATGGAAATTACAGCTACTCCCAGATAAAGCCGCTGCCGACGCGGCCACCACCGGCGAGGATGGTGGGGGGGCTTGTGGCCAGATGGCATCAGGACCGGATGTGTCAGCAGCATCACGTGAACTCCTGCTCTTTTCCAAGCAGTCACCCTCTGTGGGGACATAACAACCGACGCATTCTCCGCATTGAGCCTCCCTGGCCCAGCGGCTGTACCCGCGTTCGCCGCTCTGTTGCCGAGCTCCGCGGCTCGAATTTCCGCCGGCCGCCCTGGTTATTACCGCGCCGGTGCCGGCGTACGAGCCGTACGCCATACGAATACGCGGTGCTTGCTTCACGGCGGAGGTTCAAGATTGATTCATTCATTCATCGCGCCAGTTACTAATTTCATTCGTAAACTGCTCGTGCTGCCATACACCGGCGTCTAGAGTGATTTGTTTGAACCACGGATCACGTTGAAGGTCCCCCGACCTCATTCTAAACCGGTGTCATGGTACAAATTTGACGAAGGGCGCCAGGATGGCATGGTGGTAACGTTTTGTGCCTCGCAGCAAGAGGGGCCATTTCTGCGTCACATTTGTATCGACTCCCCCTGTTCTGCATAGTCTCCTCCGGGTTCTACGGTTTCTTCCAAGAGCTAAATAAAGACACAATGCCACTGGTATTGGCCAAACGTCGCGATGCTGCTGAAAGAACTACCCGCAAATCACTCATTGCCCCCCGACTGTGAAAACTCGGCAGGATAGGCTCGGTGGGAAAAGAGCCGACCGAGCCACCCTCAAAAGGGCGGCGTGAACATCCTGCCCCGGCAAATGGGTCTAGAACTGACCTTCGCACAAACACGCCGTCGCAAGTGCACGCTGCACACGCCCATACACCGTGAGCCTGGTATGTACCACGTGGTGTTTTGGGCTTCCAAGGTGGCCAGGAGATGACAGCGCTAGCGATGAGATGCCTGAACGCCGTGAGCATTACCGGTACTGTATTCTCTGGATTATGAAGCACCCCCCCCCCCCTTCCACATCCCCCCCCCCCCGCTTCCCCCACCCACAACCCTTTCGCGGGCGAGACCAGAATTGTGCAACTTTCTTGGCATGGCGCATAAGTTTTGGGTGCGTCTTACTTTCCGGAGCGTCTCATAACACAGGAGAATACGGTAACGATTCAACCCACGCCCCCCCCCCCCCCAATCCTCCTTCCCCTTGTACCCGGCAATGCGATGGATCGTGACGATTCAAGGCTAAGGATTCAAATCGATAATTAATTATTTAAGTGTATGTATGTACGTTGAACGTCTGTCGCACCATAGGTAGCCAACCGTGCTAATCCGTATCTCTCTATTCAGAATCAGAATATTTATTTAACCTGGAGAAAACCCGATGAGCAACGAAGCTCTTCTTAACAGATGTCCACAGTAGGGGTGGGTCCGAAAGTTACAACTCAAAAAAGAACGATAAAATTTCAACATACTATCAGAGTGCAAAACTGTATGAGAAGTGATCATTACAAAAAAGTGTGTATTGTCTCTGATTGTCTGTTCTGTCTAGATGTGGTCTCTTAGCTTCAAGTTTTATTGGCATATAAAATAATAGCAACAATAATAATGAGTAATAATCATTTACAGCCGCTTTATCGAGCCACTGCCGGATCAAGGCCTCCCTCCCCACTCTGTGTCGGCCGTGGGGGGGGGGGGGGGGGGGGGAGTCCAGGGAATTGTTTGACCATACTTCACCACCCCGGTCGGTAAATCACCTCCTGTCCCTCCAATACGCAGCGTTACAAAAAAAAAACGTATTCCAAGCGGAGGCAGCCTCTGCGACCGCGGAATTAATGGAGCCGTCGCACAGACGGATTCTAAATTTACGTTCCGCGACCGATCCTGTTACGTGGCGGACGATGCCAGACGGAGGTGGCATCTCCCCCGGGACACACAAACCGATTAACACGCACTAGCAGCACTACTAGGAGGCTTTCGCAACCAATCTTATTCATAACAAAAGGTTTTTTTTGTGGGGGGTTAGATCGCGTTAGTTTAAATGTGTCGTCAACCCGATGATGCCGGTTGATGTAATTACCGTCAAAACGTCACGGCACTCTGATTGTAAATGTTGCAGTGGGTTTACTCTCCAGCACACCGGTGTGCTGAAGTGGTAACCAATTGGCGCGTTTTTGTTTACGTGACAAACCTTACCCTTGGGCTGCGTCGGTTGGCGGTGGGTTAACAACAACATTTATGCTCATGCGATCGAACGCAAAGAAAAAAAAACCTTCATTATGAAAACCGCTTAAATAACGAGGAACGTCGCGGCGGCCAACCGCACGTGGCCAACGCTGTCCCGCGCGCCATGCGGCAAAAAACGTGCAACCGTGCCAAATTATTTTTTATTATCATCGTTTCACGATGGCAGTTAATGTTGAGAACGTCACATGCCGAGTATGAAATCGCAGAAGCTGCGGAGCGTTAACGAAGCACCGTTCGATGTTTATTGCCGCGCGAATGGGACTTTATTTTTATAGGATGAGGTTTGTTTGTATAAATATTTACGTGATCTAACCCATACTATGGATGATATTGGTCGTGAAAGCCTACGTGTTAAACCAATTACATTTTTTTGGTCGTAATCTTTCATGTGCTAATAACATTATCAGTACGACGGACATCACCCACAACTGTAACAGGCTCCCCCCCCCAGATTAGTCTCGTTAAAACGTGTATCGTGAGCCCTCCTCCACCCAACGCAGCCAATTAATAAGGTTATTAAGTCGTCATTGTACCCCAATCATCCTTGTCTTTGCCCCCCCTCCCCCCGGCCAAAAAAAACCACGTATCTGATCGTTGCCCCTACGTGAGTAGGGCAGTGAGCCGATCTCCCCTGCCTTCCACCTACCCCGAGGGCACATGGCCTCGGGCTTGTCGCGTGGAATATCTGTACTCCCCGTCGCTCGCGCTTTCTACCGGGAACTTATTGAGTAATAAAAAAAACGGGAGTAATAAACGAAAGTCTCTAATTCATCGCTGCTTCAGCAGCAGCGGCACCGCCACTGGTGATGATGTCGTCGGAGAGCGAGCCACATGACACTCAACAATTGGGTACAGACGTTTCGCTGACGTATGTATGCTCAACTTCTTTCGTACCGTACGTAGCCAACCGTGCTAATCGGAGGTGCAGGGGAAGGACGGCAAACTAAACACAAAAAGTCATAACGAGCACCATGGGAGGTTTTACTGCATACAGCGGCGTATGAATGAATGAATAAATAAATGAAGATTTTTTTATAACACGAGCGATTCGACGCAGCTATCGCGAGCCACAGAGGTCCGGCGTTTATCGACGATTCGATGCACTGTCGCCGCTTTAGCGAGAATTGTACAATCTTCTACGCAGGCCGCTCTCACGCATTAGTTTTAGCGCCACTGTGGCTAGGAGATGTTAACTCCCTCGCCTGGTAAGCAGGAAGTTAAAATTAAAATAAATGAAAAAACAACTGAATTAAATTACGACGTTTCGGAGGCAACACAAGCTTCCATCTTCAGGTGGAACCGTCACAGTCGAAGCTTGTGTTGCCTCCGAAACGTCGTAATTTAATTCAGTTGTTTTTTAATTTATTTTTATTAAATTTTCAACTACGTGACTTTACCGAAAAAACAAAAGAGTATGAATCCTTGCAGTCACGAAAACTTAAAATCTAAAAGCAGGAAGTTGTGGGTTCGATCCCGACCCTGACGCCTGCTGTATATTTGTAGTTTTTGCACGATCTTCCCATGGTCCCATGGATTTTTCTCCGGTTTTTCCATGAACATTTAGAAACAGGCACTGAGAGTATTTGCCTATCATAAATTTCCAGGTGATGAGCCACTTCGCTGAGCTATCATGTGAGAGTCAGGTCAAGAGCTGTACAGCTCAGTGGGCCTTACCTGGTCAAATGAAAAATTAAAAGTTTTTCCCCTTTTAAAAACGTAGCAGTAAAAAAAAACCTAAAAATGACTATTATACAATATTTACCACGTATCTCATGCATCATGAAATACCTCGTAATAAATTAATGCGGGGGTTGAGCGGTGCCAGGGTATTTAAACTCGCTGACTTTACGAACCCGGGACACGGAGAGTTCAATTCCCGGTCACGGCCAACATCGATGGCTCGCGATACACGAACCCATCTTGGATGCTGCCCCCCTCCCACCCCTCCGGCCAGCCCGCAACTGACCGGCCTGGTGAAGCACGGTTCAACGAACCCCCACGACCGACACGGCAGGGAGACGCTGTCATTCGGCAGTGGATCGATACATTATTCATGAATGAGATTGGCCAAACAGCCCAGTGTAGGACCGTCCTGATGGAATAAGTCATGAGACTCGGCGAGACTTTCCTGGGTAAATTAACCCTTTCCCATTCCGAAGACGTACGTGTACACATCATCGGTTTTACTTCAGATTGCGTTCTGACGACGTATGTGTACGTACATATACGTCGTCAGTAATACTTTCGATTCCGGAAGCGGAATTAGAAGGCCATGCGGGAGGGCGTGTGGCACAGTTTGGCTCTAGCTTTCGCACAGTGCGGCGGTCGTGTCGCTGCGGTAAGTACGACGTCTCTAAAAACAACGGCGCTGCCACTACGCCTCTATAAATAAAATTAATACCAAGCCGCTCGCGCGTTCCGAGATTCAGCGATGAGCAAGGACCCCCCCACCCTGCAATTTGCAGTTGTCCAGGAACGGGAAAGGTTTAAGGAGATTGTTATTATTATAATGAATGGGGACAGCAGTGGCGCATTAGTTAGCGCACTACGCGACAAAACCCCGCGTCCCGAGTTCGACTCCCAGTCATAGTGAACATCAGTGGCGAGTGATATATGAACCGGTCCCGAGTGTCCCTCTGAGCAGCGTGGTGACGCACGGCCCAATCGATGCTGCCGTGTGGGAGGAGGCCTTCATCCAGCAGCGGAGCGACAAGGCTCCCAGTAGCGCAGACCACCTCTGGATACGGTGATAACGCTGCGCCCCGTGCGTGTCGACACCACCTTCTCCCCGGTCGGCACTGTCCCTTCCAAGGCCTCAGCAGAAGCGTGGGAGACGTCACATCTGCTGTGGGCTCCGTGTTGCACCCCTGCCACGCGCCCGCTTAGCCCCCCACCCCCCAAATCCCCTCCGCCCCCTCACACGAGTGTTTGGCACGCCACCCGCCCTAGTTTTCGCAGGATCGTCCTCTTTTTTTTAAAAGATAGCCATTCTGGGAAATCTGTACATCTTTCTGGGATGTTCAAAGTGCCGGGGGATTTTTTTTTCAGTTTGCATAAAATATAGAGTTCTCCCCCTCGGCTTCTGAGCGGCCATGAAATGTCTCCACTAGACACAGCTCTCCCGGAGATCATCTCTGGAGGGTTATTTTTTGGCCTACTCTTCCATGCTGGCACAGATAACCTGCAAGACGTGACAGTAGCAGCCCCGCCCTTTACCCAAAACCTCCCCCAGGGGTAATGACCTGCCGATCAGCTGTGGTGAACCCACTCACAGTGCTGGGTCGACACAGTTGGTGAGGGAAGGAGGGGGAGGTTTAAGAAACTTTCCGCATCGTTTCAGAATCGAATGGAACCTACGGCCTCTGGATCACCGCTGTTGGGACACGCGTGAAGAGGCCTCTTTAACGAGGGCATAGTGTGTCTAGCAATTAGAACTGTAACTCAGAATTTAATAAATTGCCAGAATGAGATTTAAAAAAAGCATTTTCCCTGAACTAAATTATGTTTACTACTATTTTTATTTTACCAGGCATGGCACGCTGAGCTACGTCGCTCTCTTTCAGAAGCGACCTGGCGATAACAAATGACAGTTCAACGAAGCGGCTCATCACGTGGGCATTTATATATCAGCCAAATACTCTTAAACGCATGTTTCTAAACGTGGAGGGAAAAACCGGAAGACCCGGAGAAAAATCCACGCCACCACCATGGGGAGAGAGAGAACACGCAAACTCCAAATATACAGGTATCTTGATTTGATGCTTTCGTGACTGCAGGAATCCATACTCTTTGGTTCTTTCGGTAAAGTCACGTAGGTAGAAAAAATAATAGATCACGACGTTTCGGGCACAACACAAGCGTCCGTCATCAGCTGGGAAAGCATGGCCTGCTGCTGATGCAGACTGTCCTTTAAAACAGTCTGCATCAGCAGCAGTCCATGCGTGATTTATTTTATATACCTACGTGACTTTACCGAAAGAACCAAAGAGTATACAGGCATCGTCAGGGTCGGGATCACACCCACGACCTCCCGTATACCACCGTAGTGCCCTCTTAATTTTGGGCAATGGTGGCGTTATCTCATTTCATTCCCGGGAGAACCGGCAGAGGCAGGAGGAGAGTCGTGGCGGCACAGCCGGCGACAGCCGATGCCGGCGGCTGCGTCGCCACTTCACAGCAGGGGAGCGCGCTACTTTAAATGAAAAAAATAATACGCAAAAGTGCGCGGGCGGTTTGAGGTGGCCCGATCAAGGTCAACATCAGGGCTAGGGGCTGCAAGGGTTAGGGTTATCACGCGGGCATCTTGGGCTGCCGGTTTTAATGCAGCGCGCTCACACTGGCACCTTGGGGCAGCGGTGGCGCGGTGCGGTGGGCTTTTCCACCAGGAAAAGGTCGATGAACCGGTTGAACCCCCGCAGCTGCCGTCACCACGGCACAGCTGGTTCTCGCGATCCGACCGCGCGAGAATATTCCTGATTACATATATTCGCAAATACTTATATACGTCCGGAAATAAAGCATTTAAGGAAATTATGCACCATGATATAACGATATTTTTGCGAAACGGAGAACATGATATTTGTGGATATCACGATGCGTGACATATTGTGGTATTGCCATATTATGCATCATGGAGACAAGAGAATCGGTGCCTTTTTTGCAAGGCTGACCCTGGGTTACCCAGTCATTTTAAAGCCCTCAGACAGATACAGAATACAAGTCAACTTCCCTGACCAGGAACTGAACTCAACCTTTTCCAACTTGCGAAATTGCAAACGACCTGAGCACCGGGCACACGCAAGTCCGTTCCGATCGAGGAAAATCAACTCCTCGCACAGGATTTGCATTTTTTCTTTGCCTCTGTGTCACAATGCGATGCTTACACACATGCCGAATTGTTCTCATTTGTGCTTCTGAACTCGGGTGGCGGAGGATAAACACGAAGTCATGTCTGAGCCACGGAGGGCAGTTGACCCAAAATAATGATCGTCATCGTCAGCAACAGCCATGATCAATCCACTGCTGGATCAAGGGCTCCCCAAGCAATCACCATCTCCAATGGTTCTGTATGTATGTTGAACCTCTTTCGCGCCG